AGTGTGGCAAACACACCAGCCCCACAAGTACAGTACAAGAAGAGCATGGATTCTCTGCCCAGGGAACGTGGTATTATGATATGAAGTAGAGTGGCCACAGTGGGCACACTAAGCTGATTTTCCAGAAAAGGGCTAAAACTACGAAGAAGGTAGTGCTGAGGCTTGAGTGTGTCGAGCCCAACCACACACATCTAAAAGAATGGTAGCCATTAAGTGATGCAGGCGTTTTGAATGGGGAGGAGATAAGACAGGGCCAAATGATCCAGTTCTAAGCTTCATCTTTTTTTTGTTGTTGTTGTTTTTAATGAAGTCAATAAAATCTTGAGGTTATCTTCCAGAAAAAAAGAGAAAAAAAGGCCACAGTCACCCCAATCAATGCTACAGATTCCTGGTCGTTTTCTTTCCTCAAGGGACCCTTGAGTTTGGTGGGTTCCCCACTGTCTCTACAAAACAGTGAGAGATATGCTTACCCAACTGGGGCAAAGGATCTACAAACAGCCTCCCTGCGATTTTTTTTTTTTTCTGTAGAGGAACCACTTATTGTTGAGCTGCTGTTTTTTTATACTGTCTGGACTAGGAGATAATGCCTTTTCTACTTTTTTCTTTTAAAAAACATTTTCCAAGATCAAGGGTTCAGATCCTCTTACCAGCCAGCTGCCAAAAAATAAAAAAACAAACATTTTCTATCATCCTATACTCACTCACGATTTTCCTCATCCTCCTGAGCTTACTAGAGCTCAAAAGAACCTTCATAATTTTCTCCCCATCCCTCAGTTGTACATGGAACTAACTCCCTTTCTTTTTCTATAGCTTCTGAAAATAAGAGGTGGTCTTTTCCTGCCTGCCCGCCCCCCATTACCTCGCTTTAGAAGTCTTCTGATTGTATGTAATCTCACCTTTTATGAGAGTCCTTTCAACTATTCTAACTAACCTATTGTTACCACAATGTGATGATGTAGGACAGTGTTAATCTAACCTTTCCTTCAGTGTGGTAATTATGGGTCAAGTAAAGCAAAATGTTAGTGGCAAAGTCTCCCATGGGGTAGTCTGCCACCAGTTCCGCTAGACTTTGAGAATATCACTCCTGCCTTGCTTCTTGGTTCATCTGTAAGCAAGATTACCTTTCCTCTCTGTTTTCTTTACTGTTTTAGTAATTTCTTTTTACTGTGAATAACAGAGGGAAAGAGATGACTCAATGTGTTAAAACACTGTCCACATAATCTCGTCAACCTTACCAGCGCCCCAATGTAAAGTAATGTCTCCAATCTACTGAATCATAAGAGAAGGTAGCTTGTTACTTGTAAACAGACTACAGGTTCCTTATCCTCTGCTTTACTGTAATTCAAAAGTCTCAGAACCTCAGAGAAAGGTCCCTGAAATGCATTCTTGCCATCATTGTATGCCTTTAGAATCCTTGTATTGCTTTTTATTCTTATTTTTTGTTTGTTTTTGCTAAACTTCACTATTTACCTCTTTATCAACTTTTATACCCGAACTCAACAGCATTCATGTAAGATTCTTCAGTAACAAGGTGATGTGTGAACTCCGATCTTCCCATTTGAGGGTAGAATCTACTACTGTTTTCAAAAAGAAATAACAAACAACCAGCGACAACAAAAATTGAATAATCTGTATTCTAACACTAGCCAGTTTAAAGGTCTCATTGTTTTAGTATCCTCTCACTGTTGGTAAAGGAATTAAGAAAAAGAAGACAGTAATCTACTCCTTTAGAGAAGGGAAGCAGGGTTGAGTATGTGAGCATGATGCTTCTCCCTTAGTACCGCTTTGCTCTCCCCAAGAACCCGTCCTTGAGATATTTGTCACACTGCTTTCCTTCAGTTTTGTTTTGTTTTCCTTTGTTTTGTTTTTTAACCAGCATGCCTTTTGCTGGAGGGAGGGAGAAAGCAAGAAAGGGGAGAGAAGAAAACTCGTGTAATACAGCAGAGACTGTGCACTGACAGCTGGAGCAAATGCAATATTTGGAGATGTAACTACTCATAAAACTTTGGGCACTGACCCAGCCATGATACATTCACCTTTTTGGAAGAATTCAGGGAGATTTTTTGGCAAAATGTTGTTGTTATTGTTGTCATTGTTTTTATTTTTTTTGGTGACTGGCTGGTAAAGGGATCCTAAACCCTTGACCTTGGTCACATACTTGAAAACTAAAGCATGACTTCAGTTAATCACCAGAATATTTATTATTTAATATGAAAAGGAATAAAATTTATTGTAAATGAAGGTACTAGCACTAAATATATATATATATATATATATATATTTTTTTTTTTTTTTTTTTTTGTGGCTGGCTGGTATAGGGATTGAACCCTATACCTTAGTGTCATCAGCACCATGTTGTAACCAATATATTTTAATTTTTGAAATGCAAAATAAAAGTGTCCTTCTGATCAAATGCAACTGTTTCTGGGGTTTTTGTTGTTGTTTTGGCTTGCAAAAGACAAAATAAATCATTTTAGAAATTTGTTCTTCTCTGCACTTTTCCTTGAAACTGTCTTTTGAGTATGGAAAAATGATCAATAAACCGTACAGAGAATTTTTAATGAGACATTTCAGACATCATGAAGGTTCTTGCATGGGTCACTCATATGAGATGATATCAACAAACCTATTTTACACTATAGGTTTTTAAAAAGTATAGAAAGCTTACATATGATAAAAACAATGTTTCTTCATGCCAGAGAACAGGTTAAAAAAACTTAAGCAAAGAGTGAAAAATTAATAAACATACAGTTTGATATGAATTTTGGTGAAAGTTATCAGAGACAAATTGTAGTGAGCCAACTAAAATGATATATAGTATTTATAGGAAAACTTGAATTTGGGCAATAAATTTATTCTGAGGCTTTGGTGGCATCATCAAGTATTTGTGCTTTATTCTATGTGATTTATTTCTTTATCAACAGAAGTGAGCATTTGTGTTCAGAAGTGGACAATTTACATTTAAATTTTTAAAAAATTTAATCAAATTTAGATTACAGGTTAGAGTGGTGGCCAAAAAAAAAGCTACAGAGAACATGTAATATTTAATTTGATCCTTAAATTTGCCACCCAAGGCTGAATTTTTACATCTGCCTAGAAGCAAACCTGTCTGGTATTTGTCAGTAAGCAAGAGAAAGATATTGGCTCTCAGATAACAGGCATTTGGTGAACTGGCGACAGTCATGCCAGCGAGAATGTTCAAATGACTTCAGCTCTTTCTAGCTTCATTATGTCAGGCTGGCAGATCACATATGGCATTATGGAAATCAGCAAATGAAAACCATATTGATCAGCATTGAGAACAAATGTAAAAAAGGTGGTGTCTGGGAGGAGCAGAGAAGAATGCTTTCCTGGTCAACCCGATAGGCCCCTGTTAAGGCCTTTTAATCATTTATTAACGTAACCCTCCTTCCCTCTGCACTCAGATTACCTCAGCCACAGAGCATCCTGCTCCATTTATCTTTTAATGTTTCCTTTATTTAATTTATTTTTAAGCTCTAAGTTATACTCTTATTTCAGAATTGAGTTTTACTTTTCATGGGATTGTTTTAAGTGACTTAAATGACTTTTCCCAACAAGCTCACTAGGCATTCAAAGGAAGAAAAGCATTTGCTGAGATTCACCTATCAGCAAATAATTTACTTGGTATGCACCACAGCCGAAAGCACAGAGACAGTCCGCCAGACACACTTCCAAAAAAAAAAAGTAAAATCTGAGTTGTTACTAATTCTCTGGTTAAGGTTTGAGTTGGTGTATTAATTTAAGTCTTCTTTTCAGGGTTTGGAGTTCATCCTGGTAAAATTACTTTAGGTCTCAAACTGGAACCTCAGTAACCCTTCCTTCCCCTCTTCATTCTGTGACCTCAGGAGAAAGGTGGCATTTTCTTTTATCTTGTTTCTTTGGGGGAAAACTTAGCAATATTTGTTTTGCCAAAATGAGATAGAGAAGTGGCAGTGTGTGGTTTGTGGAGGATTGTGTTTGTCTTGAGTGCCCACACCTGAAACAGTATCTTCAGTTTTGTAGGTTTGCTGCCTTTCCTAAACCACAATACAACCTAGCTTTGAATGGGCTTGCTCTCCCACCTCCCACCCCTGCTTTCCCTTTTATTTTTATGTATTTGGGAATGTATGTATATATTTATGTATTTCTTCCCATGTATTTGGGAAGAAATTGCAAAGGCATTTTTTGTTATGAAACTGTTTCTTTTTGTAGTTGATTAGTAATTTGTAGATGTGAGTCCTTGGAATATTAATTAGAGTATAATAATAATTGTTTCTACCCTGCTTTGGAACATATATAACTCCTAAAGAAGATTAACATGCACAGAAGAAATCTGGAATATGGGTATAAGTTGATGCCAGAAACTGGTACATACAAACCAACTCAATGATGACCTCTTTCATGAATTATTTAGCTAATTGACAAAGCTGAATATTTGCAGGTTTTTTCCCTTTTAAAACCACCTCTTTTAAAGACAAATTCTATAACATTTAAGCCATTGTGGCATCCCTCTTCTATAAATTTAGCACTGAATACTGAAATATGTATTCAGAAAAAAACACAAGAAATGTGGTTAATCTCTGGGTATTGTGGGTAATCACGTCATTAAACTTTCTCCTTGCTCTGGACTCCTTGTCTGAGGCCGTTTGGAAATGATTATTTTTAACTTCGCTTTCCTCTTTGCTTTCCCAGTGCATCTTGGAGAAATACCTCTGATTGATTTGGATATCAAAAGATGCACAGTGTGTAGATCTAATTTATCTAAATAGAATTCAAGAATTTTATTTCATTTTGGTTCTCCCTTGAGGCTTAAAAGATATATTCAATAATATATTTGAAAAATCCATGTATAAAATCTATTTTATCTTTCTTCTTGCATACTCATTGATTTCTAAGTGCTTTTCCTCTTAGACTCACATTACCACCCCACTCTCCTTTCTGGGCTCTACATCAAACAGTGTATGAATTACAGCAGGAGTGCTATCTGTGGAGGACTTACTCCCCTTGTTTGTTGCAGAAGAGCAGAACATTAAACAGTGAGTGGACCATGCAGAATCGCTCTCCCTCTCTGGCTCCTTTTCTCCCTTCCTCCCTCCCTCTTTTTTCACTTTTCCCTCTCCTCTTCCTCTATTTCTCTCTCTCCCCATTCCCAATGGGAGTGTTGTTTATAGAGCATTATAATTTATAACTGAAGAGAGTGGATTTAATTTCAGTGGAGAGGCTCGCCAGCAGGGCGCCAGCCTGCAATCATATGAATCAGCAAGCTGCAAACTCTATTGAATGGAAAGTATTATCGCTGGCCACAAACGGACACTGTTTCTCCTAAACAACTCCCTTGGTGCAGGAAGACCTTGTCTTCATTCATCTCTTTTACATATCTAGTTCTGTTTTAATTTTGCCATTTCCTAAAAGTGTTTTCTCTTTAGATTGCAACTTTTCTCTAACTACCTTATTTCCTGACCCAGCATTGGAAACTGCTCTTGTGTATTTCTGACTAGTTCACTATCTCTTCTATCCCTATTCCTTACCATGTATGACTTTAGTTTTCCATTTGCTTTTCCTTCCTGCATGCAACTCTTTTTTTTTTCTTTCCTTTTTTTAAAATGGGAGCTGTTAACCATGCAAACAAGACTGTGATAAACCATTAGCATTAATATTGTAAAATGCTAGTCAGTTTCAGTCACTTAAAGTTTTATTTAATCATAGATATTTTGCTTATACTCTGATTTTTATTCTACATTCATTGAAAATTTATTTTCTTGTCTTTCAAGCATCTGGAAGATGATTACTTATTCTTCACATGATCCATCAAATGTCTTGTAATATTAGTACTTAAGCCACGTTTTTCTCAAGTGTTTCATTTTTTGAAAGAGTGATAGAATATGTGCATGACTTTTTGCGATTAGTATTTGTTTCCTGCTTTAACCTAACCTCACCCACTTTAATGGGGTTAAACTGAGTCATTTTTAAAATCAAGTTAGACTTACACGGCTGGTACCTTTTTCAAAATTGTAGCTATTACAATTGTTGGGAATTTTGGTAGTAAATCTTTAACTGAGATTAGACAGATTGCATTAGTATTGCATCAGATATCAGGCTGTCTTTATCCAGGCTTTTAAATAATTTCAACACTCATGTCTTAACAATAAAATTCAAGTCGCACAAATATCTGGTTAACTGATACTAATATTTGTTTAAATGGATAGAGGGATAAGTACGTGAGGCAGTGAGGCAGATTCAGTAAAGGAGTTCTATTTAGATATCAGAAGAAGAGCCAGATTAGTCTGACTCCATTTGTTTAAAACGAAGGTCTTATATATTTTTAAAAAATACTAACTGAACTACAAAAGTCAGCAATTAACAAGAATGCTAAAAGCTCAGAAATTTGATATGAAATTCACATTTTATTGTCAGAAATGTATCTATTTTCTTGTGTGTATATAAAAAAATCAGTTTGCATATTTTCTTGACACAATTTAACATCAACAAATCAAAATAAATGTAACCATAATTTTTCTCATTTCAAGCACAAACTTGTGAATCCATATATATTCATAAATTTTCTCCTTCAAAGCCTAAGATTAGAGTTATAGTCTTCACCACCTCAGCTAGGATTTTTTTTTTTTTGCCTTTGATTACTCATAAGAAATACACATAGGAACAGAAAATCAATATGTTTACCTGTGCTTACTTTCAAAATTGAACGTTGCTATGGTTTGATATCAGAGAAAGTATACCCAGGACCAGCTGAGAGAGGTTTTGTTTGATTTAGTTTTAAATTCCTTGTGTGGTGGATATTACCTCTAACACAATTAAGTACCTATAAAAGTATAATTTCCATTTTCCCCCCCATGAACCAGTATGTGGAATAAGGAAGAAAAATGTGAGGTGATTTCAGGTGAACATATTTCTAAATCCTTTTATTTCTGACTCACAACCGAGTGGTAAGCCTGACCCATGATGTGTGGATTTTTATTGAACTGTTAAGATTACCGTAGTTTTGTAATACATATTTTTGTACAGAAATCTTGTGTGTTTTTAACATCCTTGAGGAAGTGAGAGAACCATAATGAAGCACAAACCTTTGATTAAGATTTGGAATGATTTAACAGTAGTGAAAAGGCTCTTGGTTCATTTCCTTTGTTTTCAGAGGTCTGAAGAGGGAAGCCCCTTTGTCTTTTCACTCTAGTAGTGTGTTCTATGTTTTTGTGTTTTGTTTGTTTCATATTTACCTAAAAGATTTTCCTGTCTGCCTATCATGTAATGTAATGTTTAAGACAAATCTGATTGATTTCTGCCTCATTCTGATGAATTCCTATTTTTTTAAAAAATCTACCATAAAAACTCTCAAAACTCAATCCTAAAGCAGGTAAGTTCTGTTTGCCAGTGTGTTATATGCAAAAGATTAGTTTGTTTACATTAGTACCCACAAGTTAAATTAATTCTTTTGAGAATTTTCTGCAGTTGAAGTAGAAGAAAAAAGTATGTGGTAGTTGCCTTTGATTTCAGTAAAAATATATATTGAAATAGAATCACCTACAAATACGCTTATTCGTAATATGCTTCTAGATTCAAAGATACAAATTAAGTGCAGGGAAGTACTACTTACTAAAATGTTGCTTTTTATCGTCTAAAGCAGATTTTTTGCAGAATTCTTGCATGTTACAGTAACCTTACTTCTTAACATATTATCTGATTCCTTGATCAGAAAAACTTTGTAAAAATAGTAGATTTTTGAAAATTTACAAGGTAACCTTGTAAAAGTCCCTACACTGGTCATATAGTGAATATGTTGCATTTAAGTAATTGCTATTGGCTTCCTTGACTGTTAATGTACAGAGTTTCCAAGCATTGCTTTAGTAAAACTTGTTTGGTCATCATGGCAGGCGACTATGTTTCCTTTCCCTGTAAGTGTGCTCTCCTGCACAGTGTGCTTGGCAGACTTAGTAAAGCTTAAAAATCAGCTGCATCTGTGTGATCCAATTCTGCTTTGACTGGGAGCAATTGAGTACACCAATTGTTTTCTTTTCTAAATATCACAAAAGTTTTATTTTTCATTTTTTAATTGCCTTGAGCTGAGGATTTACCAATTTCTCTAACGTCTATGCCTCCAAAATATAAAAAAGGTCATGGCCTTAATACTGATTGTAGTGGATAACACTATGGTCGCTCTATGTAAAACTGTAACCTTGAAGGGAGGGCCCTACTGGTGGGCTGTTTTCCTCACTTTTTAGAGCTTTGATGTGTTCCTGCAGCTGATATAAATGCTGGGTTGGGAGAAGGGGGTGTCAGGGAGAGGCAGCTGGCTGGCAGCAACAGATTAAAATATTTCTGACCCACAAAAGTAACCAAATGCCCATATTTCTTCATTTAACATAATTAATACCTTGTATTTCCATTGACTTTGATAAAGTGGCTTCCTCTTCCCACCCCACCCCCTTCCCTCCATCAACTTTGGGAAGACTGCAAGAGATCTGTAGTTAAAATACTCTACAGATGATGAAGGATAGCATGTCTTAAAAAAGCTAACATCAAAAGTCTCAATTAGGTTGCTGCCTAGCAGGAAGCTTATAACCACATTAAAATAGAAAAGTTATTTCGTTTTTAGTATACTGTATTTCAGCAGTAAGGGTTGCAATCTAAGAGCAATATGAAACATTTTGGTTTGGCTGCCAAGTAAATCCACATTTTGTTATAAATGTGTAATTACAGGAAATATATGAAAAGTGTTAAATATTTCTTATCAAATGTTGTTAAAGAGGAATTCTATTTGCATGTGGAATTAGAAAAGTCCTGGGATGGATTTTGATCATGTTACAAGGTCTACTTCTTGCATTTAATTTAAAGCAGTTGTCCTTATTTCATTACTGCAAAGCATAGTGTTTTTCAATTTATTCCTTAAAACACAGAGACAGTGGCACAAAATGTGCACACTGGTTTAAGCAGTCTTTGATTGATCATGTGATTAAATCTGTGGGGTTTTTTCTTTCACTTTGCCTCAGTGTACACATTTTTTAATGAAAAGATAGATGATGTCTTTATTTTAAACAATCTACTGATGGTGGAAGAGGCCATATACAGAGGTGATGTCAGCTGAGGGCAAGGGTGGTGGCTGGTTGAGGGTAGACAGCTGCCCCTCCCCTCCAACACTCAAAACAGCCTTCGCAAATTCAGTTTCATGCTGCCTGAGTTGCTGTCTGGTTGGTTGAACTCATTCTCGTCTGTGGATATTTGACTAGTAACTGTGCTGGAAAAGTATCAGTACTGCCTTCTCTGGCCTTTGTACAAACATGATTTCTGGACGAAGATGAGCAGCACTGATCTGCTATGATGGACAGAATTCAATTATGTTACTCTCTCAGAGGGGGGAAAAAAGGCGCACGTTTAATGCTATAACTAAATTGGATTCCTTCTAGTAAGAAATCCTAAATTTGTGTTTAATAGCCAGATAAATGTAGAGCTGATTTACATTTACAGACTGGTTGTAGATTTGGTTGATAGATACAAAGTTTGATCTGAATGTGGACGGTTTTACCACCCCAAATGGAATGTACACATCCTTGTCCTGCACCATTTTTTTCTTAAGTAAAAACTGAAGATCTCTTATTGGTAGATATCCTGGGTAAGTGGAGCCACGGTTCTTACAAGAGTGTGTATGGTTCATGTAGGAAGCGAAAACCCCACCAAGATTCTGATTCTCTGTAGGATGGGGGTAGGTTAGGTAGAGAATCATTTCTCAGGAGGAGAGCTCACAAGTGGAATTGCAGAAGTGTTTCTGCCAGTGGGGTTTCTGTTTATTCCCCCCGCATAGATGTTTCATATGCATTTGCCTCCACAGAAGGGGAATTTCCTCATATTCTAGGTATTAGGAAAGAACAGATATACACACCATATTTTATTTGGAGATGTCCTGACAGAATTTCTCACTACCTTTTTCCATGCCACGGTCAGCTGTACAGCAGCAAGACGAAGGTGATCCCAGTAATAAACCTTATTGGTATGGTTCACTAGGTTTTTTGGAGTCTGCATTTATTCT